GTCGCCTTCGAACAAGCATGGGTTGTTGAAGGTCTATTCTAACCCGGATCTTCACGGGTAATGATTTGAATAATAAGGTACAATGAAATTCTGTATATGTCCATAATAAGTGTGTATAAGTAAATGGATAATATATCCATACACGCCAATTAAATGGCTGCATATGGTTCTTTGATGAACTCTTTTACAAGTCCATATTTCAAGACATGTATTTGATATTCATAATAAATCCACAAAAGATACACAATGGCGACAAAACGGTACCAGCACCACAGATATCTATATAATTACTTTTAAGTTAAATTATGTATCTAAATAGTAAATTAGAAGGGTTAAAAATATACACTTCCGACATTTTTCGGGGTTTTTTCGTTTGGAGAGAGGAGTAGTGACAGTAGTGACTGGTATCTGATGGGTGCAAACAGGTGTCGAGTGGCTGTCTCAGATGGCTCTAATTTCGTAGCTCTAAAGATCATGACGGCGATACAGACCGTGATGCAGTTTGTCTCACAGTCCCTGAACGACATTATTTCCCCTTCCGCCCAGGCCTTACTGCAATGCTATAGCCCCAAATGAAACAATCCTAGATGTTCAACGGGTTTAGGCTGAAATTTCCATCTCACTTGGGCTCCTTTTAAATTTAAATATAGTTTCTCGTTTTAACCAAAATAATGTATTTTCAGAGACTAAGCGTTTGTCTGACCGTGAAGTACAACTATCCAAAAGATCTATGTCTATATTTCTTCAGACAGCCTCTCCATGTTCCTATCTATATGTATCAAAAGACAAATGAATTAAATATTACAGCACTGGTGAATAGGTTTTATGCGCATGTAAGCGTCGATCTACAATATCCTTTGCGCAAAATACATATATACTGATGAATTAACGTAGTAATACTACGCAAATATATGCCCAGATGTATACATAAGTTTCATCTCGTGATCTTTATTCGTGCTTTTAGCTCTTTTTCTACATTAGATTATGGGGTGTTACATCACACCAGAAAGCCAGGTCCAAATTCATGTCATAATTTCATGGTCCGTCTTGTATGTTGGAAACCAATATCGCAACATGGCTGAATATTGCTAAACGTGGTATTTAACCGATTACTCAGATAATTATTCCATTTTCTTCGTGCACGTTCTACAATCATCTACGATCACTATCTATAAGGAGGTATATCTATATTCATCCAAATGTACATACATATATGTCCACATACATATGTATTAAGCAAGTCTTCCTTAAAAGATAAATGCTAAGCATTTCCTCTGTATGTATTTATATATGTAAAAATCGTTTTTATGACTACAGTGATTTTTGCGAGGCTACGCATTTGAGGCCAGGGTTCTTCTATACTCGCATTAATGTGCTGACTTATTATTGCGTTAATTTCATGATTTACAGTATTCATGAAGAACATTTCACGTGGGACCAACAGAGGGAAATATGACTATCGACTATTTTTTTATATTTAGCTAGCTCAAACGATCTATTGGTTTGATTTATTGTTATGGTATCCACAAAATAAGTAGGATCCGTTTTTTCCGTTTTTGTTGTTCTTTGTGTAACGCCGCACGTAGCAATATTCCAGTTATATGACGGTTGTCTGTAAAAAATCGAGTCTGGACCAGACAATCCAGTGATTGATATCACGACCACCGATCCACGCAGTTGAGATACGATGACATGCATCAACCAAGTCAGCGAGCCTGACCACCCGATCCCTTTAGTCGCCTCTAACGACAAGCATAGTCGCCTATAAGGGCAAGCATGGGTTGCTGTAAATCTATTCTTAACCGGATCTTCAAAGGTCAAGTGGGATTCAACTGATATGTTAAGATGAAATAAAACTGAATTATATGTGCTGTTTACATATCAAAGTTTGCCAAATTGTTACAAAATGTTTGGCCACAGCAAGGCTACGTATTCACAACTTATTGTGGTAGGCACAGTATAACTCATGAGTCTGGACCGAGGGAGGGCCGTATTCCTCCTTGTGGGTCACCTGCTTGGCAATATGGGACGGGAAAACTGCAGGGGGTGAGGGCAGTTAAGTTGATGGTATAGACAGATAACAGATATAATTTTACAAATGTGAAACCTCATTCCACAAAAGGAAAAGACGAAAGCTGAAACTTGGTGAGATTTACAGAACAAAGGCAGTTATTTCTAGTTTCTTACTGACTCTCGAGGATACACTTAATAAAAATTCGTGTGTGCGACACGGCCACCAGTCACTCAATTTGCGTCACAATCTTTCTGTCTTCTTTCATTTGTCATCTGAAATACCATCCCTTCGTGACCTTGTGCTTCCTGCTCAAGTTACCAAACACATCCTGTTTACGTACACATGCAAGATATATATTACGCCGCGGAGAGCCTACGATTATACGTTGATACGTCTAACTGCTGGCCTGGTACGCAATGTCATATTTCTTATCGCCAGGGATCACAGGTGTGATACCAGTCTCCCTCAAGGAGACGTCTGATTAAACTCTTTGCTTCGTCAATGCTTCGTCTAGCCCAAACCGGTAACTGCTACTACTAGCAACGATACAGTGGCGTACAAAGACTTACAATGAGTCACGCATCCGTCACTCGATTTCCATTTTGACTGATTGTTTGACTGATAGATTGATAGATTGATACATTGTGTGAGTGAGTGAGTGAGTGAGTGAGTGAGTGAGTGCCTTTTTCACTGGTATGTACGGATCTGGGTACGGGTCACCGGCTTAGCTTCACCGATCTAGATATATCTATGCAGGAATAGGTCATTCATGCGGATAGCGTAATCTCGATTAATGTATTCAGGAACCTTTCGTGAACAACATTTATTGAAAATGCTACCGAAGAATCAAACAACTTTAAAATTTGGCTTCTGTGGTGGAATCATTCTAATATTTCACATAACCGTTAACGTACTTCTTGAATGTTGTCACGCCATTCATTCAGACAGATCTCGAAGATATGTTAATATCTATGCGAGGACAGCGGATTAGATATCGCGAGGCCGGTTCACAATCCGTAAAAGCCTGTGATATGCCATGAATAGCCCATTGCATCTTCTGTACAAAGACTTTCTTTTGTACGTGTTGTCACAGAGCCACAAACTTAGGTCAATGGATCAGATAAAAGCAGGACTGCTGGAATCGGTTGAGGTGAACTTCCCACGACATAAACTCCTACTTGACAACCGCTTTAAGAAAGTGCCGCCATTCATGTACACAGCCCTGTGGATGAATGAACGACCTAGCGAGGCCAGTAGCGCCACATATATATATATATATATATATATATATATATATATATATATATATATATATATATACAAAAATGAGGTAAATGTTCACTCGGTGTACATGTAATATATAATAAAATAATAAAGTCCACGTTAGCCCATCATCTTCTTTATATCAGTTTCATACATAGTACTTTCGCTGTCTTCACTGAAGAGCTGCCATGAGACAGCGAAAGTACTATGTATGAAACTGATATAAAGAAGGTGATGGACTAACGTGGACATTATTATTTTATTATATATATATATATATAATAGGATGACATAAATAGAACAGTGAGTAGTACGTCCAGATTAGTGTATAGGCGCGCAACATTTAAAAGTAGATGAAAGAACACAATCGTCCGGAATACAATGTATAATTCTGGTGCACTTCCATGTGACTATATAGCATACAATAAGCTATCGGGTCCCGTTTGGGTCGGTTTGGGTGGCAGCTTAGATATCCATAGAGTAGGTTCATCTCGGAATCTCCCATATAACTGGGGCTCCTCTTCAATTTAAATGGAGTTACTTGTTTCTTTCAAAACTATACAGTTTTAGAGACTAAGCATTAGTCTGAATAGATATCACCAGTTTGGAATTTGAAAAACTAATCTGTTTACAGTAACAGAACACTGTTTAAGTGTCATGTACAATTGAGAAAGTGGAATCCCGCCAATTAGGCGGACGAACCTTAAAACTATTAATAAACATTAAAATAAGCAATATCGGGAAAATGTATATGCATATACTATCTGGCAATAAACACAAAGATCACCTTCTACAAAAATAAATTTTAAAAGCCGGTTGATATTCTTGTTGCGTATTTGACGAGTATATAACTTTCGAAAGTATAAATCCTTTTCCTATACTCAGACGTTCCTGAGCCTCGCGCTTTCCTAATTATTTTGACTAAAATTATTACCGTTATCATTGTATTTGTTAATGGGAAATACGCGCCGATCAAGTACGTGCCATAAATTAAAGCGACATTGTACGATTCCGAACTCATCACGAGACTGTGTTTATGAATCACTGTCAAATAGTGGTGACATATAGTGGAAACAATACGCAAACGCGCATGCACAGAACGGAAAATTTGGACAAGGCATTAAGCAATCCGCATGCGCAGAACGATTGATTTCAGTACTTCCGCTAAGCGCTTCGAGTACAGCGTCAAACTCGGGCCTGTAATCTAACACACGAGAACTGACCAATGAAATCTGAGAAGTAGGAATACCGGAAGACGCTGTTGCTTGATTGACAATGCCAGTCAAGAAAGGGAGGAGCTTGATGATATCGTTCTCTCCCAGTAAATTCCGATGTCAAATAACGACGTTATTTGGACGGAAAAACGATGGTTTGAAAGCGTCCAAATAACGTCGTTTTTCCGTCCAATGACCATATACGGAAAAAACCCGACGTTTTCGTGTTTGAAATGTGTCATCGAAACCCAGTTTGCATAGATCGATACTCCTGATATCAAACACTGGATTGTCTGGTCCAGACTCGATTATTTACAGACTGCTGGAATATAACTGGAATGTTGCTCAGTGCGGCGTTAAACAACAAACAAACAAACAAACAAACACACACACACACACACACACACACACACACACACACACACACACACACACACACACACACACACACACACACACACACGTATCCTACCGGTGCAAGGCTTCAATTAAACTTTAAGAAGACGTACATGTGGCTGGATATCCTGGTGTAGCCTGGTCGCCTTTAATCATGACAATGTTCCCCCTTTGAACCCCTGTAGGGGGAAGCCACATGCTCTCAGGATAGAAGTTGTCTCCCTTGGCGTAATCACCCGGATCCATGAAGAGGATGATTCCAACGGCGCCATATTGATGAGCGAAGTTGACCTGACAAAACATGTAGTGCATTTAAACATGTCTTTTCTGTAAAGGAACAGTGCGAATGAGTTATTTCACTCACTCACTCTGGTAATCATGGTCTGTGATAAAGGTCTTCCTTTTACCCGAGAGTTTGCCTCGGGTTTTTCTGTAGTTGTGTGTGTTGTCTCCCTCAACAGCCTGTACAGGTACACTCACTCAGGCACGCACTCACTCACTCACTCACTCACTCACTCACTCACTCACTCACTCACTCAGGCACGCACGCACGCACGCACGCACTCACTCACTCACTCACTCACTCACTCACTCACTCACTCACTCACTCACGCACTCACTCACTCACTCAGGCACGCACGCACGCACGCACGCACTCACACACTCACTCACTCACTCACTCACTCACTCACTCACTCACTCACCCACCCACTCACTCACTCACCTGTACAGGTATCTTGTCCCACCGCAAGGCACCGCAATTCGCAGTGCAAAGTTATGTTCGTTAGGCGAGTCAGAACGATGACTGTGGGTTCGAATCCTCGATTCGCCTCGAATATCATTCTTGGTTTGTTAGCATCAAAGCTGTTCTGGACCTATGTCACTTCAAGCTTTCCTCCCACATTGGTGAGAGAGTATGATTTTACGTCGCTTTCATAACTATGAGAAATACGTTTCACACATTGTAACCATGTTAGGGATGGAACCCGAGCCCTGTCCGACGTTAATCTGTCACGAATTTGTGTAACTGATTAAAAGCGGGTTACGCCCAGCTCACTCGCGCCAACGATACTCATTAGAATCGTACCTTATTTCCTCGAAATATCCTTCCGTACCGGGCAATGACGATCTTCCCCGAAACATTCAGACCTTGTCGTGTGAGGTTCTCAAAGTCGACATCTCGGGCGTAGTTGGCATATACAAGTTCTGCCTGAAGGACACAGTATTACAGTATTAATATGATGACTCTTCGTTAGGTAAGTTGTGCACTTAGATGATGGAGTACAAGGTGAGGAGAAGATATATGGAAGAACAACTTCTTTACAGCAATGAACTTCGTGACACTTGGGGTGATTTAGCTCGGTGGTAAAGTGTTGTTTGGTAGAACAGATGATGTGAATTGAATCATGTCACACAGTACAACCGCTCCCCCAGAACAGCTGGTGCATCAGATAATGCATCACGAGGAAAACAGAGAAACCCCCCCCTCCCCCCCCCCCCGAAAAAAACCAAACAAACACCCCCTACTAAATCAGCAGCCCTTCTTTAAATGAGCCATAAAATCCGGAGACTATTGTAGAAACAAACCAGCACTGATGTACTTTTCAAGATTTCAAAAGAAATAATACATTAAGTATTCAAAACACCATCAAAGCCACTGGAAAACAGCCATCCAACCAACCGGAAGAACCCTATGCATCGGGACCATTGTGCGACATTTCGTATAATCATGGACATGCTTATATTGGTGAATCATCTAGGCCCCTAAAAACCCGAATTAAAGATGGTGAGTACTCAGATTCCATAGTCGACTATAGTCAGCTTCTCCAGACCTTATCCGTGACAACCCCGTTACAACCAACCGCAAAAACTTCAAAATCACAATACTCCAACCAACAAACTACCCACCGTGACCAAGGCTATTACATACCCCCTGCTTACCATGCATTCATCGTAATCCTCCTGTCAACACTACTGGCTTCACCTGTTGGGATTGTTTACATTATGTGCACATAACAGGCTTCTCTGCTCCATCGAAACCTAACCCAATCTACTCCACTGTATGAACTCTACCTCCTACTTGTTTGTACGCATATGATCCATACTCTGTACAGCACTTGCTTGATAACCGTGTTAGAACCTGCACAGAAAAGTCGTCTAAAATGTGAGAAAGGAGTTGCTCAGCCATATATCTCTTCCTTGCTTCCACCCAACAGCTGAGGTTAATCGAATATATTTAAATTGACATGGAAGACAATTTATTTCGTGACAAAACTCAACATCACACATCGCTGAGTTGGTAAGCGAGCGAATGGACCTTTATGAATTCTTTTGTTACCTCTGACCATTCTGAGTGTCCAACACCAAATCAGAATCAGTTGTCCAGCCAGCGCACAGTGTGAAAACCTGGCAGATGTAATTTGACGATATTGTATAAGATAAAGCTGTTTTTTAAATGTACATCCATCCAGTAATGTACTGGACCATGTTTTTCAATATTTAGTCTTGTATTTTTAAAATGATGACTTAGGCTGAATGTGACTGAAGACATTTTCAAGTAGGTGGCATTTGGTTCGGAATTTAGGTTGGTGTGTTCCGCTTTTTGAACTGGGAAAAGGAGCTGGCTAAGCTAGCCAAACTTTCTGATTTATTACTGTTTGATGGCCAGGCTGTGCATACGTGTGTATGTAATTCCTGGGTGATTTAACAAAAATGCAACGTTACTTTAGAATTCTATAGAAAACAATTGGTTCTATGTAACCTTGAGATTACCTCTGAAAGTGAGATAACTTTGCGGGAACGTTATTCCTGCATTTAACAATATATCGCCATACGGCTTTACGACATGTTTGTGTCACCTCCGGTTGTCCGCTCGGGGAGAAGGCGTTGTATGGTTGAACTGCTTCCGGGTGTGTCTCCTCGTCGTAGAAGGCGATCTCTCTCGGCGTTGACTGGAACAACACACTGCTGTCTGATGCAATAAGGCTTGCCTGAAAGCAGTCGGAAGTAGACATATTGTCCTTACAACATGCATGATTTTCAGGGCATCCCTTCTCATGGCACCCTCGAACATCCGGGGTAGAATAGGTCTACAGCAACCCATGATTGCAATACAAGGCGACTATGCTTGTCGTAAGAGGCGACTAACGGGATCGGATGGTCGGGCTCGCTGACTTGGTTGACGCCTTTCATCGTATCCCAATTGCGTGGATCGATGCTCATGATATTAATCACTGGATTGTCTGGTCCAGGCTCGAATATTTACAGACTGCCGTCATATAGCTGAAATATTGTTGAGTGCGGCGTTAAACAACAAACAACCAAACAACCATTCACATGGTCTGATCCCAATATGAAGGAGCGAGTCTCTGCAGTCTTCTGCCTTACCTTTGTCTAGACATTTAACACCTTGGTGAAAACTTATTCACTACCTCTGTGTAACGACAGTAATCGTAAAATGCTAAATTGGCATACACCACAAAAAATGAACAAGTAGTGTTTGTTGTTTAACGTGAGTGAGTGAGGTTTTACGCCGCTTTTAGCAATATTCCAGCAATATCACGGCGGGGGACACCAGAAATGGGCTTCACACATTGTACCCATGTCGGGAATCGAACCCGGGTTTTCGGCGTGACGAGCGAACGCTTTAACCACTAGGCTACCCGACCGCCCCTGGTTGTTTAACGCCGCACTCAGCTGAATATCAGCTGAATATATCAGCTGAATGACGGCGGTCTGTAAATAATCGAGTCTCGATCAGACAATCCAGAGATTAACATATGAGCATCGATCCTGTCAAATTGGGATACGATGACATGTATTAACCAAGTCAGCGAGCCTGACCACCCAATCACGTTAGTCGCTTTCTACGACAAGCATAGTCGCCTTGAACAAGGAGTGCAAGACACTGTTATGATGTTATTTAACGTACGTGAATTAAAAAAGCCGAGGTTAGTCCCCTTTAAAACGGATAAAAGAAGGTCCCTTTATCTATTCTAACTCTGAGTCAAAGGGAATATTGTACTATCTATGGTTTTATCAAGATGTATCGCTGGATGTGAATTTTTTTATAAATATATCGAAGATGTTCCATAACATATGTAACGTAGACTTACCGTGTTGTTGTGATTGTCATCCGGGTATGACAGGAGTACGTTATACGGCACCATATGAACGTCATATCCTTGTTCGAGCCACTGATCCCTGACGTACTCTGCCGTACGGAAATTACCCGGCATGCCAGCCAGATGTGGCCTCTCTGTCAGCTTCCTTCAGGTAAAAGATGGCGAAAAAAATAACAAGGCTTACACTGTCTCATTCACAGAAGATAATCGTAAAGTTAAAGCATCTTTTACTTTAAATAAGGCCTGATTGTAAATACACCTTTAAGAAAACAATATCACTGTCCAGTCTTCTAATTAACACATTTTAATGTGTTCCCTCCGATAGTGCGTGAAAACAGGTGAAGTGATGTGAGATGGGGTTTAACGTCGCATCCAAGATTATTGCACTTATAGAGCGACATGCAGGCACGTGTGTGTATGTGGCTGCTTGTACTAGTCCGGACGGATGCCGATTTTATAGTGCCAGCCTATTGAGATACCATAACATTCACTTAGTCGTTCAGATAAAAAAGAAACACACAGGTAGATGTTTAGTAAATTTACTGTACCTAATAAAGTCGATATATTTAATTTAATATCATAGATACAAATATGAAATTTTGGAACTCGATAGTCACATGTTGATTTGGTACAAAAGCATTGACAACCGTTCATTGTCATGTCACATAAGGCCACAAGGTTGCGCTGAACTCAGTATCTCGTGTGACCGCCCCGGGCAGCAATCACGGCTCTGCATCTCCCCGGCACTGACTGGATAAGTGTACGAATTCTGTCCAGCGGAATTCTGCGCCATTCTGCTTGTAACGCGTTGGACAGTTGTGTGAATGCCCGCGGCGTGTTCTGGCGTAGACGTATGCGTCGATAGAGTTCAACCCAGAGGTGTTCGATTGGCTTGAGATCTGGAGGTCTCGACGGCCAGGGCAAGACGTTGATGTTGGCATTATGAGGTAGTCTACCGTGAAACGAACTGTGTGCGGTGGAGCGTTGTCCTGTGAAACAGGTCCCTCCTCAACCAAGTCAGAACTGGTGATGTAGGAGATTCCATCTCGCCGGTGAAGAAGAAATCGTGATTTATCGCTAAACCATACTCGTCTCCAGTTTCCCAAATTCCAAGGCTGTAAGGTATGGCACCAACGCAAGCATCGCTGTCCATGGATCTGTTTCAAAACAGGGACGATAACTGGTCTTCTGGGTCGGATTCCAGCCTCGCGAAGATCGTTCCTGACAGTCTGGTCAGATATCCTCCTCAAATCAGGGATCCGTCCTACAGTCTCCATAGCTGTGACATTGCGATGACGTAGGTGGAATCGTCGAATGTATAGTTCCTGTGCAGGGGTGGTAACTCTTGGACGGCCGGTTCTCGGACGGTCTGCAGTGGAATTGAACTGTGTGTATCGGTCACAAAGACGGCAAATGGTGCTGTGGTGGACGTTGAAGCGGCGTGCAACAGAAGACGGCGATTCCCCTCTTTGGATACGTCCTATGGCGATGTTGCGATCGGCAGTGCTGAGTCTCGGCATTTTCGAACTTGAAAAATGTTGACAATTGAATGACAAATTATTGGCTTATGCTTGCCTTTTTATAGCCACTACCATGAGTAACGAATGTCATAACTTGCACGTGCATTTTGCTTTACTGTTTTCCTCCATGACATTTTTGAACAAGTGTGAAAACAATGCCGTTTAAGACATTGAAAATCGACAATGGCTGCATTTTGAGGCACCGTTTGTCGAATATCAGGCCACCAACATTTTGCCAATAACATATATCCAATTTATATACCAGATTTTTGTGTAGTCGGGTTCAATGAACTACATACTACCTGTGCGTTTCTTTTTTGAAGAGTGTATGTTCGTTATATCCAAGAATAATCAGGTGACTTTAATAATGTTCAGTCAATGGTTAGATGATTGTTATGATGATTATGATGCTTACCACTAATATATACTTATAATAATACATTCTTAATTGCTAGTCGATGATCATATATAAATCGCAATAACCGACGATAAACTATATGACAATGACTACATGATACATTGAACGGTAACTTTGGGTGATAGTGTAGCTGAGTGGATAAAGCGTTCCCCAACAACTCGGGTACAGTCACACACAGAAGGATCATGGCTGTAGTAGATTCATCGTGTTTTACATCACGCAAACATACATCTGAGATTCTTGAAGACCCGGGTTAGAACAGGTCTTCAGCAACCCATGCTTGCCGAAAGAGGCGACAATGCTTATCGTAATAGGCGACTTACGGGATCGGATGATCAAGATCGCTGACTTGGTTGATGCATGTCATCGTATCTCATTTGCGTAGGTCGATGCTCATGATGTCAATCACTGGATTGTCTGGTCCAGATTCGATTATTTACAGACCGCCGTCATATAGCTGGAATATTGCTGAGTGCGGCGTTAAACAACTAACAAACAAACAAAACTTTGAGGAATTCACAACAATCACTATGACGAGGTATGCAATCAACCTGAATCCAGTTACTGGAATTATTTACAGACCGCCGTCATACTGCTGTAATATAGATGGGTGCGGCGTTAAATAACAAACACACATCTGAATGTAACTCCTCACCGGAGATGTCTGTCGATGTTTGCAGGGTCGATGTCTCTGATGAGTCTCTCACTGACACCAGCGTCAGCAGCACGCACAAGTTTAAGTAGCATCCCATCCGACTCCGGTCCATGTTCAGTCGCAGTTGTCGCCGGAGCATATAGCCCAATGAGTAGGCCAGAGACAAACGCCACCACCCCTGCCACCGCGGCCAAAAGAACCCAACGTCTTCCCACAGCCTGCATGGCTGATTAATGGAAAGGTTACAGAAAATATCACATGATTCATGGTTCAACAATCATCAGAGAGTGGTACAAAATTAATATATGAGATACACTGCCCCCATAACACAAACAAAAGCGATAAACACTTTCCACGTTCATAAATAATATCGATTGTACGACCCCGATCATGTCATGAGCATGTCTTTATGAAACAGAGGCGGTCGGGTAGCCTAGTGGTTAAAGCGTTCGCTCTTCACGCCGAAGACCCGGGTTCGATTCCCGACATGGGTACAATGTGTGAAGCCCATTTCTGGTGTCCCCCGCCGTGATATTGCTGGAATATTGCTAAAAGCGGCGTAAAACCATACTCACTCACTCACTTTATGAAACACTGTCAAATAAAGATGATACCAGGTTTTCTCAAAGCTATTTGCAATTATTAGTCAAGGTGATGAACGATGAAATGGAAAACAGTCCTGAATATATGTGACAACGAGAAGAAAAAGACCTACTGTGGTATTTGGCGGAGACTCTCGATATGATATGAAGCAGTGTTCAACAGCGATGTCGGTGAAACTGGTTTGTTTGCATCAGCGTTATGCTAACACATCTCTATGTACACTAACGTACAGACAGTTTGATGTCAAACAACGCATGCATAAGAAGGGTCTCAATGAGACGGACAATACAGCAGCTTTGAATCGGGACGTGCAGATACATATGATCCAGTAACCAGATGCTCTCCAAACACTGGACTACATATTGTTGTAGGCAGTCCCTGATGGGGGCACGGGTGGCCCAGTCGTCTAAGGCGCCGCGATTCTCTGCGCAGAGTTGCGTCCCATGGGCACGCCAGAACCATATGATTGTGGGTTCGAATCCCGGTTCGATTATGTTTCTAGGTTTGTCATACCCGTGATCGTGGGTTTCACCGAAGTGGTAAACGTCTGATACCTGCATCATCTAGGGCTGTCCTCCCACATTAAGCTGACACGCCGCGATATAACTGGAATACTTTTAAAAGCGGCGTTAAATCCAACTCACTCACTCACTCAGTACCTGAGTTGCAGGGTAAACATGCTTTGTTGAAATGTATTTGTTGATTATTTAACATTTGTGTTCTGTGCCTCTAAACTTAAGGACCTAACTCCAATGCTGTAATGAAACTATTTGGACGAGTAAAGGAATAAGTACACTTTAATTATTACAACACGGCCCATTTTAATTCTGGAAACCCAATAGTCCAAAAACTCTACGGTCTTTGCCCAGTCTCGATCAAAGGTATTTACAAAATTAAAAATGCTGTTTTTTATGGGAACATACTAAGGAAGTAAAAATGAAAAAAACATGTTCAAAAACTCAATATTTACACGATGTCGCCCACGGGCGGGAATATTTTCATTTACGTTAAACACATGTTCCTACAAGTTCCATGACACATGATGTAAATCATTTTAACTTCATTCAACTATCTTATAGGGTTATTGAAATAACGCCCTGGACGAGAACGTTTGTCCCATGGGCGAGAATATTTTCATTTGCTCAACAGTTTTAGTTTCGCAAATACATAAAGGTGTGTCTACAAACATGCCACATGATTCAACTCATTCTAACTTTTATTGAAATATTTCGCCCAGTCCCTTTGAAGCAGTAACTAACTGTGTGCAAAGTAAACTGACGTCCAAAAGAAACTTTACCAGAGTTTGAAATCACTCCTGCTCAAAAACAACAAAACATACATGCATGAACTAAAGTGTATTGAGAAGATCATTATATCAACATAATCAACACTGAAAATAACAATCATACCGCGACCGAGAATGACGTCAGAGCCCCCCAAAGTTGGGTGTGGTACAAAACTCGAGCTTTACATAAACAATCGCTCAAGTCATTAGTGGGGCGGTCGGGTAGCCTAGTGGTTAAAGCGTTAGCTCGTCACGCCGAAGACCCGGGTTCGATTCCCGACATGGGTACAATGTGTGAAGCCCATTTCTGGTGTCCCCCGCCGTGATATTCCTGGAATATTGCTAAAAGCGGCGTAAAACCTACTCACTCACTCACTCAAGTCATTAGTAGCCTGTGTGACCACCAAATGCCTCAATACACGCAAAAACTCTTCGACGCACAGAAAAAGTCAGCCATTCGTCTTGGAGGGCCAAGATCAGTCCTTTCCGGTTGGCTTGAGAGTGTGGTCGTTGTCGAACACGACGATCCATCAAGTCCCAGAGGTGTTCTATGGGGGACAACATGTCGGGTGAGCGTGCATGCCACGGCAGGACGTTGACGTTGTTGGCTGCGAGGAAGTTAGTGACAATTATGGATGTATGGGCTCTAGCGTTGTCATGCTGATAAATGACACCACTTGGCTGCTGTTGGAGAAATGGTAGGACAACTGGACGAAGAATGTTATCCATGTAACGCTGAGCTGTCAAGTTTCCGTCAACGATAACCAGCGGTGTCCTCTCCTGCCCACAGATCCCTCCCCACACCATGACACTCCCTCCACCATATGGTACGACCTCCTGCACGCAATACGCCGCCGTTCGTTCACCACTTCGGCGGTAAACGCGTTGTCTTCCATGAGGCCTAAACATACAGAATCGACTTTCGTCAGTGAAGACAACCCTCTGTCGTACAGTCCGGGCCCATCTCAATCGCAGACGACGATGTTGCGCTGTCAGTATATAGCTGTCCTCTGTATGGTCTGAAAGCCCTGATTCCATGAGCCCTGAGTCTCCTAGCCACTGTCTGTGAATATTGTGACACGAAAGCAACTTTTAAATGCATTGCCACTTTTGGTATGAGAAAGGGGAACAGTTCAGAAAAAAACAGCCTTCTTGTGATAATTCTCATATTCTCATAAGCACGTTGTATCTTATAACAGTGTCACGCTTATTTAGAGGTGATTCTACAATACCTGCTCTCGTTCAATTACAATCTGCCACATCACGCGTGAATAAACAGTTATGCAGGTGTTGCTGTGGGCAAATACCTTCTTCTGTTCTGGCAAGTTGTTTAGTTCAATAATTTTGTTTTAAAATCCTTTTCAATTTGTTTTCACCATTTTCCCTATTCCATTATATGTTGTTATATCTTATTGCTCATGTTCCCAAGTTTTATAAAACACTTTAATGTTTCTCCTTCCTAATCAAACGTTATACATTTCAGGTCATTACTTTCATCTAATACACAAGAGATGACGCCAAGACATATTTTATTCGGTTTGATGGTCTATGCGGTCTTAAAATTGATTTTATTAGTCTTTGAATCTTATTTTTAGTGCATATTTTCACAAACAGGGCTGTTAGCTGATAAAAGGAATGTAACATCCAGTTGAATTCCCAGTTGACGTACTGATAGTGTTGTTTTTATCAAATAAGAGGACTGTATACGACATGCGTTAGTCTGTTAACGAGCTTTTTACAATTAATATTTCGAATAAGCCCTTAAAGAGGTTGCATACAAAAAAACAAAAAATTCAAGAAATGGGTATATTTTGGTATCATTTTGTAGGAAAATATGTCTTGAATCAAATTACGCAATAAAAAAAACAAGTCACCACGGCATTTTATGAATAAGTGGCGCCATCTAGAGGCACCGGATGATAAAATCATTTTGCCAATAAAATGGTAATTTTAAAGTTTGATTAATAAATGATTGTTTTTGAATAGACATATTACAGTATTGATATGACACAAAACAGAAAAATGAAAATTCAAGTCAAAACATTTTTAATTTCACACATCATTTGACTTGAAAAAGCACATTTTCCAAAAGAATTGATTCATCAGTCAAAATCAAGATATTTTTCAAACTGGCTTATTTCTGAAGTTTATTCATTGTAAAATAAAATTATAAAATAAAAACAACATGTTACCAGAGGATATTCGAATTATTTTCAATCAACACAGCATACCCCTAAAAAAATGAATCTGGGGAGGTAACTCTTGCCCATATTTTCATTTCTATGAGTTCATTTTGGCGGAAGTACAATTGGCCGCGAGTCAAAGGGACGTAACCGCATTACAAATACTCGCCGTTACATGCGCGTCCGGTATGCGCATGGACAATGGTATCCAACGTCTTTAATACGCCAGTTGTGACAGGGATGGTGGTATGGTAGCTGTAGCAGACAGATTGACAGCCGTTGGTACGTGCGTCACTAGGTTATTAGTACGGCATTGACCTTTGGTTGTTACTATACTTTGAGGATTTCTGTGGCAAGAGGCGGACGTAATTCAAACTCCTTCCACACTGACATCGCATCAAATATATTTGTGTACCGATTACATAACTCTTACTGACAGAGTGGGGTGGTATTTCACCAGACGGCACTGTGTTTATTGGGCGGCGCCTTTGATATCGCCTCCAAACATACTTTTAATGACCCATTCAGCGATGATACACACCTCATTGAATAAAACGTTTTGTGTCTTTGTGCTTAATGTATCCGCATATTAACGAAAATATGTAATACATGTATCCACAATAAATATATATATACAGGCTAGGTATTTGCCCACAGCAACACTTGCATAACTGTTTATTCATGCGTGATGTAGTAGAACGAGTTGCCCAGTGTGATGTATGAACGAGACAGTGGGAAATGAAAAAGAAACTAACTAAACTTTAACATTGTGGAAAATAACGCCAATGATTGGAGTACACGCGTATGAATTCGTATGATAAACTATCAAAACGTTTTTAGAGTTAAGGCCGGTTTAATAAAAGATGTATGTAAAAAAGGTGAAATTTGTAAAACTTCCAGGAAACTTCCAACCAAATGCCCTTTTTAAATAGTAATGTCATAATATAATATGAAGTATACTTTGCACACGATTTGTTAATGCTTTAAAGGGACTGACGAAAACATGGGCGAAATGTTTTAATAACGCCACAAATTAGTTGAATTAATTAAAATGAGTTGAATCATGTATCATGTTTGTAGACACACCTTTATGTATATGCGAAACTAAAACTGTTGAGCAAAAGAAAATATTCTCGCCCATCGGCCAAACGTTCTCGTCCAGGGCGTTATTTCAATAACGCTACAAAATAGTTGAATTAAGTTAAAATGGTTTTTCATTATGCGTCATGAAACCTCTATGAACACCTTTATGTATTTGCGAAACAAAAACAAGAGTTTTGAGTAAAGGCAAATATTCTCATTTATGATGATTTAAATGTTTCAATATTGCTATAAAATCGTTGAATTAAGTTAAAATGAGTTATATTTTGTGTCATGAAACTTGTAAGAACACCTGTATGTATTTGCGAAACAAAAACAAGAGTTTTGAGCAAAGGAAAATATTCCCGCCCATGGGCCACTCTTCTCAAAGTGTAAGTATTGAGTTTTTGAACATTTTTCCTTCCTCAGTATGTTCCCATGAAAACAGCATGTTTAATTTTGTAAATACCTTTGACCGAGACTGGGCAAAGACCGTACAGTTTCTGGACTATTGGGTTTCCAGAATTAAAATGGGACGTGTTTTACTCATTTTTAAGCTTTATGTTGTTAGTATTTCTGTTCTGCCCCAATTTTATAATAGAATATTCGAAATTCGAACTTATGTTAAACCTAAATAGGACACCACTCACTCAAGGTATGGATTGTATTTTAAGACTACTTTTATCCACCAACAAAATTA